TGGAACGAGGACATCCATGGCAGCAACTGTCTTCTCATCATCGTTAAGTCTCATGTAAAAAGCTTTGATTTCTTTCGGGTAGTTATAAACAATTATTGGCTTTTGATCATACTCAACCTCTGTCAAGTATCTATAGTAATTGCAAGACAAGTTTGGTTAGCAACTAACCATTTCTTGCAAGTGTTTCAAGTTGGGGAATTGTTTTTATTAGACAAACCTTTCATGCTCTGAGGCCAAGTCCATTTTCCTCTCCACTTTGTTATCAAAAACAACCTTTCCTTCAGCTACAGCTTTCTCAAGTACCTCTATTGCTTCAGTGTATGTTACACGCTTAAACGAGGTTTCGGCAACCATTTTTAGCCTTTTCGTGCATCCCCCATCAACATTCTTATCCATAAAATCCATGTCATCGGAACAATTCTTGATCAACCAGTTGCACATGTATTTCACATACGCCTCTGCACAGTTCATGTCGTCCTACACAAATTTCAAAGAAGAAGGTTTCTAAGATACAATATTACCATAAAGAAGAAACCAAAGAATATTATCTATGTTTATTACATGTATATCTGCAAAAGCTATTTCAGGCTCAACCATCCAGAATTCAGCTAAATGCCTTGAAGTGTGAGAGTTCTCTGCTCGGAAAGTCGGGCCAAATGTATACACGCTGCTAAGAGCGCAAGCATAGGTCTCCACTTGTAACTGACCAGAACCGTCAAGAAAGCTTGACGGCCAAAGAAATCATCCGAATAATCAATTTTTCCATCTTTTTTAGGTAATCCAGGCTTAAGCCTTGACCTCTCTTCAACATGAGCTAAACACGCCTTTGCTATAGTAAGTTGAGCAACGGAAGCAGTGATCTCTTCCTTGCTTGCCTTGGCAGCTTTCAGTCGCGACACAGCTTCACCTCTCTCCTTGACAATAAGTCTCTCCGCTTCAACATCAGCCTCAGTGGGTGGAGGGTTATCAATGAGATCCTGCTCAACCCTCTCAGTGTGATTGATCAAGGTTGTTACTTGGAACATTTCACCAGCTCCTTCACAATCACTTGTTGTGATGATAGGAGTGTGAATGTAAAGGAAACCATGTTCTTGAAAAAAACTGTGGGTCGCAAAAGCAAGCGCATTACGGATTCTTGCCACTGCTGAGATCTGAAATCATAGCAAATATATGACCAATATAATTAGTTAAGTGAGCCTATGAAACGAAGAAAACATCTTCAAAAATCAACTTTTCAATGATTCAATCAAACAGAGAAACATTAAAAACAAGTTTCAATCAAGAAATAAGAAGTGTTTACCAAGTTAGTCCTGGAACGAAGATGAAGCAAATCTCTGAGAAACTCAGGAGTCAACTTAGTCTTAGGAAGCGGATACTTAGTCGGATCAACAGTTCCCACATCAATCACACTCTCAACGTTAAGCTCGATACTCATAGAAAAGAACTTATTGAGGATATATGAACTGGTTAACTTTGGTTAACTTCGGTTTACTGATCTTGGTTTAATGCTACATTTAATCTTATGTATATAAGTTTAATTAGATTCTCATTTTCAGTTTAAGTTGTTGTAAAAATATTTTCACCTCAAATAATAAAGTTTGTTAGCTTCTTCACTCTCTCTCACTCTCTCTTTCCGATCTTGAACGTCCGGTATACCAAAATTTATTATGGTATCCGAGCATAATAAGGAGAATCCGCCTTCGTTGTGTTCAACGGAAGAGAGCTTTATCTTCTCTTCTTCGTTTTCTTGTTACTTCGTTTGATTTCATCGATTCACGATTTACGATTTATGTTTTTCCGATCACCGGAATTTTCTTTCCGTTCTGTTTCCTTCGTTTCTTTCAATTGACTGAAAAACGAAATATCAAACGGGAGAAAATAATAACGAATCCTTTACAATAAAATTTTAAAAGACACTTTTTGCGTCTTCCGGGATTTCTCAAAACCCTATTGTTGTGTTTGTGTCTAAACTCTGAAGATCGCCTTATGCAAAGCAAAGTCATGAAATGCGTTAGATCAATTTGAAGTCGTACGTGTTTTTTTCTTAGATCATGTTTTGTTCTGCACAGGTAAACATAATAGATCAATTTTGAAGTCATGTTTTAATACTTTACAATACACCAAATTCTCAAGTTGGCTACCTAAACATCAAAACTTATTAGTTTCTATGAGTAAATTAATATACTATGAGTAAAATACACCTTGATTAATATACTACGAGTAAAATTTCTATGTCGTACCTTTTTTCTTTGAAATTGTTTACAAAATACTTAATGTGAAAACTATTTAAAAGGTTAAGGTGTTATCTATATTTGGCGTGTGATTCAATTTTATTCGAAGAATTAAACTCAAGAGGTTTGGATGAGTAGATGTCATGTACGATAAAACAAAATCTTTCAATTCATGCTTGGTACCAAATCTCTCTGCTAATTTTGTAATAAAAATCAATAAGTTTTAACGTATGACACAATTCAGTAACACATATATTTAAAGTGAAAACCTTTTTTTTTTTTTAAGTTGACTTCATTATCAATATTTTGACGTGTGATATAATAGTAGTATTCGAAGAACTTAACTACAAAAACGTGTGTGACTGTCAATTTCATGCTTGGTATTTCAACAATCTCTATGCTAATTGGCCCATAATTATAGTAAGTTTGTGGAACTTACATTTCTCCATTTAGAAATAAAGTAAAGATGTAGGTGTTTTACGACTCAAGTGATCAGCCAGTCACTCACAAGTCACAACCTTAGTAACAAACTCTGAGATTTTATTAGAATTATAAATATATCACATCTGTCTGTTTCGAAATTTGAACAACATAAATAATTAATTAGTACATTTTAAAAAATATTTCGTATATTCAAATTGATTTTGTGGATTGACAACTTGATGTGAACTAAAGTTATCTGTCTTTGTTAATTAGTCATAGAAATTAGTAAGTGTTGACGTGTTTATACCTTGAAATTGTGTACAAAAAACAATAAAGTGAAAACCTTTTCAAAAAAATGTTAACTTGTTATCTATATTTTTGACGTGTGATTCTGTTGTAATGGAAGAGCTAAACTACGTACTAAAGCAAATATGTCAGTTTCATGCTTGGTATCCAATGATCTCAATGCTAATTGGCCAATAATTATAGTAGGTGAAATTTCTTCTTTCGGTTTTTAATTTAGATGTACGCGTTTTACGACTCAACAAGTTAAACTAAAGTGATCCACTTACAATCGTTGGTAACAAACAAAGGTCTTAGATTTTCTTATAAATATCACATGTGTGTTTAGTAAGTCTCTATCTCTCAAAACACAAAATATTCACTAGAGAAGAACAAGAATGGAGAATCCAAATTTCGATACACTTCCTGAACATCTACAAATGGAGATTCTGTTACGGTTGCCTCTGCAATCCTTGGGTAAATGCCTCTGCGTCTCAAAGCAATGGGCATCTTTAATCCGCTCCCAAGAATTCAGAGATCTTTACTCGAGCCGATGGATGACAGACGATCTTGACAAAGCGCTACTTGATCTGCTACTCAGCTAGTCTATACCATGATTAAATCTTCAACGTGAGGTCTGAATAGTTTAGTGTCATTGTTCGTCTCATATATTTCTATTGTCCGTTAATTAATCTTTATTTATGCTAAATAATAATGTTGTCTCTCGAGTATGCTATATTGGGATTATTCGAATCCATTTCTATTGTCGTACATTAATCTTTGTTTATGTTATATAAATAACTTTAATAACATTATTCGAATCCATTTCTGTTGTCTTACATTAATCTTTGTTATGTTATACTATAACAAACTTACATTTTGAAACATTGATAAAACGCAACAAATTCCCAAAGCTTTTTGTTTTTTTTTTTTCCATCGAAAATTGTTTATATTTTTGTATAGCTGTTTGTCAGTCAGATTCTTTCGCTATATGTCGTTTACTTTTGTTTTTTCGACGCTTCTTCTTCCCTAATTTCAAACCCTCATTGAGAAAACATATAACTTGGTCAAAGCAATTTTTCCATTTACAAAGAAAGACAAAAATTGTAGTTACAAAACCCATTAGGAAAAAGATGATTTAGCGTGTGCTTTATTTTATGTTACCACTTTACTTACCCCAGTCATCACCTTCCTTTCGTTTTTACATTTTTACCTTTGTCATCGATTAGTATTAGTTTTTCAAAATATTGGTCAATACATTTATTATAGCAAATTATCTCTGCAGAACTTTTAACGAAATTACATAGCTGCCAAAAGACATTAAACACATGGTCATCAAATATTCAAAACTTTACTATTGTTAAGGTATCATAGTCACATACAATTCCTTCTATTAGCCAAATTCATTTGATCAAATAACTATTTATCTAGATTCAATATTTAGGAGACATCAATGTCTTATGATTGTCAATTTTCTATCAACAACTTCTCATGTGATGAAACTTAATATAAACCAATATGACATATAAAATTATATAAAATAAATTTTGGTTATTAACAATTAAATTCATTGTTTACACAAATGATAAGAAGGAATTAGTATAATGACTATGTAACTTTAACTATAGTAACCGAACCAAATCATACAAGTGTTCCGCCCTAGCTAGTTGTTTGTTTTATAGAAATTAGATTTATGAAGTATAGATTAGTATAGTACGCTTCTTGGTTTCTCTTTTTTTTTTTTCCCTATCAGTATAGTATTTGGATAATATTACGATAGTTAAAAAAGCATATATTTATTGGACACTGCTTACTACTTCAATATATAGAGATAGATATATGTAATGCACATAAGTTTCTAAAGAGAGCGAACTTGAAGTGAATCAAACAATGGTAAAAATAACTAAAAAGGCATTTGTTTTTTTTCACCTTTTTAACTTTGCTGTAAATTTTCCCTTATAAAATGGGCATCAAGAAGACAATGATAAGATCATAAAATCTTGTTTGTCTTCATACAAAAGAAAAAAAAAATCTTGTTTGTCTCTTTGTTGTACTAGAAAGAAAATGGAAGGTGGCGCTGAGGATCTGAGTGTTGAGGTACAAGATTGATATAATAAGATTTAATGATATGTTTTTTTTGTAATGTTATCATATAGTTTATCAACTAATGTTTTTACATTTTGCTTCTTTGTAGATTGTTGGTCTATTGGAAACGGCTTATGAGAGGCGTGAGCCGATGACCAAAATCCGTAAACAGCTTGAAAGAATGTCAGAGACTTTGGCCGAAGCTGTGCCTCACTCAAAATATGCGGAGGCCATTGTGAAAGGAATGCTTCTTGCTGTTCAAAGACGTGCAAACCTAAACGGTAATTAATTAATTAGGTTTTTTTTTGCATCTTCTCTAATTATGAACTATATCTAGCTACTCTCATTCTAAAAAATTGTTTCAGTGCTCCTTAGCATCCAAGAAACCATCGATCAGGTTTTTGATACATATGGTCCTATCCTTATTCAATATGCCACCAGCAAAACTACCCAAGTGAGCATTTTAATAATAACAAAACAATATGTTGCATTTTTATAAGTAAATAATTACAATTTCTAATTTCTCAATAGATCCAAATCATAGAGTCTGTGGAGAAGATATGTCTTGAACCTCAGTCACCATTTTTCCCTGTTTTTGGTCATGTGAGTAAGAATATATTTTGATACTTTTTAGTCTTGCATGTTTCTTTGATGTTAATTAACCATTGTTTTTTTTTCCCCTATAACAGATAATCCAGACCTTGTCACGCCATTGTGTAAACGTGGAAGCCATTGTTGATTGGGAAGAGCGTAGGAAAGAAGCAAGAGAGAGAGGAATTCTGTCTCCACAAGAGATGAATCTTCTGAGGAATATGGAAAATACCCAAAGTGGTCCTACCGGTGGCATCCTTGAAGGATTTGAGATTGGAAAAGGAAGCCAGGACGCTCGAGACATGGGCCTCTAAGTCCATTCACGACTCTCTATCCCCTATGAATATGATCACCTATACTTCTTTCTATTTTATCTATTCACGACTCTCGGTTTGTTTGACTACAATCAAACAAAGTATATAAGAAAATAAGTTTGATTGATCCAAAAAACTTATATAACTAGGATATTTTTGTGACATACGATTGATTCATGCAAACAATATTATGTTACAAAAAAACAAAAAAACAATATTATATGTTTCAAGGGTAAGAAATAGCCACACAAACAATCAAACAAAAGCCCACTAACAGTTGCGTTTAGCTAGTTGCTGCCTGCCTCGTCGTTATTCTGGCGGTACCCCCTTTTTTTCTTTTTTCTTTTTTTTTCTCTTTTTTTTTTCTTTTTTTTTCTT